GCCTCCTTTTCCTTTTCCTCATCAACATCCTCCACATCACCTTCCTCTTCCTTCTTTGCATCCTCATCTTCATCATCACTGACCTCCTTGTCAATAGTCTTCTCAGTCCATAGGTAAATTGGATAGCTGATAAACTCAGAGTGCTTCTTCACGAGGTCCTTTATCCTCCTCTCCTCCAAGTACTCCAACTACAGCAAAAAACATATAAAAAATCAATACCAATAATCATCGAAAGAATTAAATGTACCACCAAATTGACATCAAATTACATCTCACCTGATCTTCTTTGAGGAATAGGGTGATCTTGGTACCTCTGCCAAGAGGTTCACCACTCACATCCCGGGTGACAGTGAAAGACCCACCAGCCTGAGACTCCCACACATATTGTTCATCATCATTGTGCTTTGTGGTGACAATTACCTTCTCTGCCACCAGGTAAGCCGAGTAAAACCCTACTCCAAACTGACCAATCATGCTGACATCAGCTCCAGCTTGCAATGCCTCCATGAACTCCTTTGTCCCAGACCTCGCAATTGTTCCCAAATTATTCACCAAATCTAAACAAGAACATTAGACTTGCTATCTCCAATTCGAATAGGTAAAAAAACTTCTAATTTCTAATCGAAATAATGAATACAAATATTTTTTTGTGGATTTAATCGATTAAGTACCTGCTTTGGTCATGCCTATTCCACTGTCGACAATCGATAGAGTTTTGTTAATTTTATCAGGGATGATTCGTATAAAGAGCGCCGGTTGAGCATCAAGCTTGCTTTTGTCTGTTAAGCTCTTGAATCGGATCTTATCCAATGCCTATATCAAACCGAAACCAAACATTTCAGTCTCTAAATCAAACATATGAATCTCCACCAAACCACCAAAAGCAAACCAAATGGAATAGAAAAAAAAAAGGATAAAAATCTACAACTTTCTGTTCAAATATATAGACAAAATTATGAAAAATTAAATAAACTACTTCCAAAATTTTTCCTTTCCTCTGTTTTATCATCAAACGGAGAAAAGCAAAAAGCAGTCTCCAGATTTCGTATAAAGAAAATAAAACATAATGATACTAGTAGAGAACAATCTAGTTAAATGCCGCGAGAAAACATGAGAATCAATATAAAATTCAAAAGAAATATTTCTTTTCCTCCGTGTGTTTTTTTTTTTTCTTAGCAGACAAACAGATACATAAAAAGTTGAAACAATTAACAAAATAAAATACGTACATCAGAAGCGTTGCTGATGAGTTCACGAAGGAAGATCTCTTTGTTACTGTAGAAAGTGTTGATGATCAAGCTCAACAGCTGGTTGATCTCTGCTTGGAAAGCGAAGGTCTCTAACTCTGATCCCATATGCACGTCCACCATCACTTTCAGATCAAACCATCAGGACAAGGAAATAAGGAAGACAACGAGTGCACGCTTGAAGATGCGGCAGCGATCACAATGTAGAACAATGAGCAATGTCCTTGATTTGTGAATTTAGCTTTGGATTCTATGCGAGAAGAATCGAAGATAAAGGTGCAATATATAGTGAGAGGAGTAACTGGAAGGTTTTGGAGTCGGTTTTGCGCGGGTTCTAGACTTCTCTTTCATTTTCCAAACTTTTCTTTTGCCTGTTTTGCCCTTGCTTCTTAGCTGCTCCTGCGGGCTGTCAAATCCAGAATCTTCGTTTGGCGATTTGGTTCGGATGGTAAATTGCCCTAAGCGACATCGTTTTTGCTTAACTAGTTTGGACGTATTCTTGAATTAAATCCCAAAAAAATGGGCCCTTGGACTTGTATTGAAGCCTGGAATGCCCAAGTTTGTGGATACCAGTTTTATAATATAAACTCACTCAACCTTTCTTTTATAATAGTATATGTGTTAAATCAAATGAGCAAATGTTAATTGTTTTCTTGTAAAAGAGTTTAATTTTTGTTTAATATTGTTCTTAATGATGCCAAATTGTTTTACTGTTTTGTTAGAAGTAGTTACAATCATGGGACATTATGAAGTGAATGTTAGAATGATAAATGCTCCTCTCTATGTTACAAATTGTTTTACTTGTCGTAACAAATAGTCACATTTATACATAAGTAGATCTAATGGTTCGTGTTCGTGTCTAAATATCATATATCAAAAATTATATGAGTAAATATGAACATGATATGATTAATTAAACGTGAATACATATATATATTTATTAGATATATAATATGATACAATATGTTTAACAAATTTATTAAATAAATCAGGTTAAATTTTATATGACATGATATGATTTATAACTCGTTTAAATGGTTAATACAATAAAAATTTTCAACACGATTAAATTAAAAGTGCATATAATTAGAAATAAAATATAACTTTATTGTTCAAATTTAAAATTAATAATCATAAAAACAATTATAATCCATGATATGAACTAGAATATCTACTTTTATGTGCATAAAGAGTGTGGTTTCAAGCAATAAAAATTGTTCAGAAAGGTTTCATAGTACACATAAGGAAGCAAAGATCAATGTTTACATGTTTCAACTACTTTTGAGAGGCCCAATCATGGATTTTTAGCCATTTTTGAATGTGCTCTAACTAAATTATATCAATTCCTGTAGGCATATATGTGTGGAGTTTCAAATGACAAAGAAGACTATTCACTTTGATGACAAATTAATAGAGCAGGTATACCTCTTTAAATGAAAAAAAAAAAAAACCACTACTGTAGTTGATAGAACAAATATCCATAAGAGATTGCTTATGAATTCAACTAGGTTACAAAGAGATCACGATGGGTCTTTCTGCTTTTTATTCTGAAGTCTTGTCTTGGCATGGTTCCTAATTGAATAGCATTTCTTGCAGTGCAAAAATACAGATGAACGTGGTTGCAATTAGTACCCATTGGTGGTTCAATCATACAATTTCTTCCTTCATATAGCAGTGTTGATAAGAGCCTTCAAGTCCGAAATCTGGAAATTGAGCCAGACCCTCTATGCATTATCAGTTGCATTAAACAGGGAGTAAAAAACTGCCATCCATTATTTTCCCTTATCCAGTTTTTTTAGGTGTTAGCCTGGGTTCTACCCCTTAAGTACCAAAAGAAAAATTTGAATGTCATTGCTGCACTTCATAGTTCTCATTGGCTGCAGTATTATCGATTCTTCTTGGGACAACAATGACGTTCATTCTTATACCAATTAGAACAATGAAATTTTCTTTAAGCCTATGTCTGATGAATAACTTCTGGAAGCTGCACAAGGCAAG